ATTCGTTTATAAGAATTTTAAACATAAAATCCCCACAAAAAATCCTCACCAGGATCACGTGCAGAAATAGATACAGGATTCTTGTTGTTCAAACTAGGGGTGTCTACATACGAGTGCACAGATAAGCAGTTTGATTGATTTCCATTTGGTAACATAGCAGCACACACTTTTTGCACATCTAGATTAGGACTGCTCTGCTCAAAATTTAGACATGTGCTTAACATATCTTCACAATCAGCTCTACACAAAATAAAATTCTGAATTTTACTAATTTGTTGCAGTAAACTGAACAACTATCAAACTAAACTATGAATAAGCTGAGTAAATAAAGTAAAGAAATTATTTATAGTTTATTTATAGTTTAGCATTTCCTTGTGTAATACTTTATAAGTGCATTTAAAAAAGACTAATTATCTATAATTTCCATCAATTCATTTTTTAAATCTACTAAAAGCAAAATATTACTTTTGGCAATCTCATTTATTTTAAAATGCTAAAATGTTTATCACTGGTATAAAGTAGCTCTTTAATTAATAAATATAAAAATAAAAGTTATATATTTAAATATTATATAGTTATAAAATATTATAAAAACATAATTGCAAACCTTTTCAAAAATAACTATACCTGCAAACTTGTATTTGAGAGACTTGATAATCACATGGTCTAACTGCAAGCAAGCAAGCCAATGCCTTGAAAAAAGTAATATATATATATATATATATATATATATATATATATATATATATATATATATATATATATATATATATATATATATATATATATATATTATATATATATTTAGATCTGTACTGTTCTAATAAATTTCGACACTTTAAGTTTTAAAATGATGTACAGTATTTTCAGAAAAAGAAGGAAAAAAATGAAGAATAATGAAAGAAATTGAAGTTTTTTTGCCAAAACAAAAGCTCATCATATCTAGATAGTATCTGCCCAAACCCTTAATCATTGTAGGTATTGAAGCCCCCACAAATAGGGTTTCGGTATAATTTCATTGATGTTTTATGCAAACTAAGTTTGCATAAAACATCAATGACATCATACTGAAATATATATATATATATACACACACACATATATATATATATATATATATATAAATATATATATATATATATATATATATATATATATATATATATATATATATCATATACTTAAAAAGATAATATAATATTATGGTATGATAAAAATAATAATAATAATATTCTTATGCGTTTAAGAGTGCTCAATACTATTAAATAATAGAGCAATAATTATTTATTTATATAAAATTAATAAAAACAACTTTTGATGGAACGCAGAGTTTCATGCCTTTCGACAATCATCAACCATATTGTAAACCTAATAACCAACTTATGTATGTTCATTCTGATTCAAACTTTACATAAATCAGGATACGATTTGAAACTCACCTTTCAACTCCAAATAAACAAAAATAAAAATAAAAACATTGCAAGCCTAAAATTATATGGTACAATCCCCCATTCAGCAGAAAATGTTAAAACTAAAAATAGAAATCACTTCTTAGCTTTAATTGACCTACACTCTCCAGTAGGATACAGGCTTTTTTTGCATGCCTAATGTCAAGTCTTTAATAAATGCACATAACAACAAGATTTTACAACGCAAAGAAAATATAACATCAAAACAATGCATAGACAAAAAAATTTGTCCATTAAATAACAATGTTTTCCTAACAGTATCATATACCAAGCCACTGTAAATTCTGGAGATCCTGAATTCAAAAATAAATTTTATTTCAGTATAAGTGAAACAGCATTTAAATTAAGATATGCCAACCATCTTAAACCTTTCAATGCCCCCAAATATAAAAATGACACTGAACTTTCCAAAGAAATATGGAAATTAAAATCTACAAATATAAAACCTATGATTACATGGAAGATAATACATGATGTAAGCCCTACAATCAAGCATCAAAAGTTTGTCATATTTGTCTTGTAAAAATTTCAAATATTATCATACAGAGGAGAAAATTTACTTAATAAAAGATATGAAATAATATCAAAGTGCCACCATTTAAGGAAATTTTTACTTTATTATTTGATAACGGGGACTAAAATTTTTGACGTCTTTTTGTTTTGTTTTGTTACATCAGAACTCGATTCATTGTAATTTTAATTTGTATTTTTTAAACAGTTTTTACATTACAAATTATACACGATGGCTGATGATTCCTGAAAGGCATGAAACTCAGAGTTTCATCAAAAATTGTTTTTATTCATTTTATATAAATAAACATATATATATATATATATATATATATATATATATATATATATATATATATATATATATATATATATATATATATATATATATGTGTGTGTATATATATATATATATATATATATATATATATATATATATATATATATATATATATATATATATATATATATATATATATGTATGTATATATATATATATATATGTATGTATATATATATATATATATATATATATATATATATATATATATATATATATATGTATATATATATATGTATATATATATATATATATATATATATATATGTATATATATATATATATATATATGTATATATATATATATATATATATATATATATATATATATATATATATATATATATATATATATATATATATATATAAACTATTTTTCTCCATTTTTATTTAATGCATTTGTTTTTGTTTTTTATTGCAGTGTTTTTATTGTTTTTCATAAATTGAACTTTTCATAAATTTGGCAAAAAAAAAAAAATTTTATTTTTTATCGCTAATATTTTATAAAGAATTCAAAGAATTTTTCAAAAACTTTGCTTTGGAATCAGAGTCGAAGTTGGAGTCGTACTCTGAAAACTTCGACTCTGGAAGTCGAAGTCGAAGTTGGAGTCGGAGTTGGCACTTTTTTTTTTACGACTCCACACCCCTGGTTACAACTGGTTTAGCCATAGGCCCAACAGAGTTTATGTACATTTTTGGTTTTGGTTTGCATAGTTGTGTAAAAACACAATTTAATCAGTTTCTTCAATTATTTTAATGATTTTTCCATAATCTATACTTAATTTTGTCAACTTTTAACACAAAGAGTTGTTAAGAGATGCCTTTTTTTACCATAAAGGGGATACATAAGTGTTGAAGATAGGGTATACACACATTAAGTTTATACATTTTGATAATTAATGTGGATATTAATATATGTCAATTACTAAATGCAGAGAACATGAAACATCAACCTTATGATACTAAAACAGTCTTCATAAATGTCTACCAAAGAGTTGGGTAAGCAGTTTCTACCTATAAAAGACAACCTATGGGTATATTAGTATGAAATCCTCAGTGACATTTTATGCAGCCCTAAGCTAATGGTACAGATGAATTGAATTATAGTTACATGTATTATCAGCATTAAGGTCAGGTGGAACTATAAATAGATTAAAATACCTTTTTATATTTTGCATAAGGTTTATATTTAAAAAGTGAATACTATCTGATTTAGAATACAGATTGAATTGAATACAATATACAGAATATAGAATAGAATAATACAGATAAACGTTGAATATTGATGATAAACATACTTGATTAATAAACTTTATAAAATAATTTTTTGATCAACCCTTATACTTTGTTCAAAATGTTCAATAACTACTAAAAAAAATTATTTTTAAAAAATTCATTTTTTTCTAGACTTAGCTCTCCCAAACTGTGTAAACCTTACTCCAAATTTTCACACAGATGTTTATTGTATAAATAATGTTTGTTGTATAAATGTTTATTGTATAAATATAAAAATACCTTAAAAAGTTCTGGCTGACATGTATTTATATCTTTAAAAACAAGGCTATAATCAAATATATAGACCACACCAACTGACCAAAAAGTTAGTAACTTTCTAGCTGAGCTATCTCCATAGCTGTTACACCGGCGAAAAAGATCCAATTGTCTAAAATATTAAATTTGTATCAAATTATAAAAATTAAAAAGATTTGTGAAAGAAAAAAAAAATAGTACTAACATAATAAAATAAAACATAATAACAAGATAAAAAAGAAACCTGTTATTCATGTTTGTGCAAAACTGCATTTCAGGTTTGCAACCTAACTCACATGACTCTAATACTACAGAAAAAATGCAATAAAAAATCTATAATGTAAATAATAATTTAAATAAATATTTAAAATAATAATTTATTATTTAATTTAGCTTTAAATGATTTTACTTAATCCTACATTAAAATAATAAATCAAAATAACTTACCATCAGACATACATTTAGAGAGTTCAGCCTATAAATTAAAAGCCAATAAATGCAAATATTGTCACTTGATTACCAAAATAAAATAAAACAATTTTGAATTTAAAAAGCTGAAAAAGAGCACAAATTAAGAATAAAAAAAATTGGCTAACTAAACTTTGTATACAAAAAAAAATGTAACAGAAACCTACTAATTAAATGGTTTATTAGAAAAAAAAAATATTTATTACTTCTTTAGGATTCTGGATACATTCAAGATACATAGTATCCCACAGTCCCATTAATGCTGGGCTGTTGATAGCCTGTAATACAACTCAATTTGAATTAGAAATTTATCAAGCTATTTTAAATAATTTATTTAAAAACAAATATGTATTTTTAAAATTAATATAATTTTGTTAGTTTGTACCTTTTCACACCAGTTTCTACATCTTAAACTCTTTCCTCTGGAACAGCAAGGCTTTTGAAACTGAACAAGACCTACAGAGATTAAAAAATATTTTGACTTTATAATTATAATTTATTTATATAAAAATAATTCATACAAAATTTTGAGATCCAACTTACCTCTATTTGGCATAACTTCATCATTTTCTAAAATTTCCAAATTGTTGTTTTGATTTAATGTTGGAGCTACAAAAATATCAAAATTAAAGTGATTACAAATTAATTTTATAGTAATTTTATTATTTTTATATTTATTTATATGTATTTATTTTTAATCTAAGATTAAAAAAAAAAAATTTAGATTAGTAAAACTTACTAGAAATTGGTAAACTTTGAATAACACAACCATAAAAAGGTGACTAAATAAATTTTAAACTTTTAAATTATTGTCTGAAACTTATTAAGATAGCAAGAAAAATCAATTAAAATTAATTGATCTTCATAATAATTTGAATTAAAATATTATTACTTATATTATATATTAATATTGCCAATAAATTAATTTTATTTTATAAACCAATTAATAATTACTTTTTTATAATATATTAACATTGCAATTTAAATACTAAAATAAAGATTTATAATAATAAAATTAATAACATAATATTATTAGAGTAAAAATTATTATTTAACTTACTTCTACATTAAATGGACCACAATGGGTAGACAAGGTACCAAACATAACATTAATATCATAATATTGACCAACTGCCTAAACATTTAACAAAATCTTATAAATTATTATAGTAGATTTAGTTCCACCCTTTTAAATACTAGTATTGTAATTGACTTTTACTAAATTGACTAAAAATAAGCTATTTGAAAGTTGAAATTAGTCAATTTTGAAAAAAATAAATAGTTGATTAAATTGACTATGGATTTCCTAATAACCAACTAAAGGTTGATTTAATCAAGTAATAAACCTAACATTCTTATATCATTTCATTAGATTCAATTTTTTCAATTTTCTATTTTTGTTTGTTTATTTCAGAATATTAACATGTACAATTATAACTATTTTTATATACTAACTAGTTTTTAGTTTACTTTCTTAAAGTTTTATCTTATTTATTAGCATCATAGCAATGTTTATACTTATTTAAACTATAGACTTTGTTAATTTATTGTTTGTTTGTTTACTCTATGCTTGTGAATTTCATAAATACTTTTACAACTATTCCTTGCTGACTCAGGACCTCTAACTCACTCAGACCAGGGGGAAAATTGTCCTGTTGGTGAAGCAGCTCTGCTTTTATATTGTTTTGTTCCATTATTATTTAAATGATATGATATTAACAAAAAAAAAAAAAAGCTTAAAAAATACTTTATTATTTTCATTAGAACTTATTTTGGAAAAAAAAATTTATTCCCATATTTTTACTTAATCACCTCTAAGTCAATTTAGTTGATTTCAATAATGTATTAATTTTAATTGACTTTTGAAAATATAAAATCAATTTAGTCAACAGTGGAAATATTTAAAAGTTGTAACAACACTAATAAATACCCATAATTTGTATAAAATTATAACAACTACAACTTGCTATAAGAAAATAACTATTTTGCAGTTTGAGAAAGCCATAGTAAGATGTTTTTAAAAACTGAATTAAAATAGATTTGTCTTCATAGCTTAGTTCATAGATTTTTGGCTGATTTTCTTTACTATTAAGATAAAAGTTCAAAAATTGATCTTATTTGCTTTTATTTTATTAATAAGTAATTAAATTTAATTTTAGTAAATGTAAAAAATATGATACTTAATATTTATGAAAATCAGAAAAGGTGGAAAAAATAGAAGTGATAATTGACTTTCAATTAGAAATAAATCTGACACTTAGCTGTGTAATATTTATATATATATATATATATATATATATATATATATATATATATATATATATATATATATATATATATATATATATATATATATATATATATATATATATATATATATATATATATATATATATATATATATATATATATATATATATATATATATATATTCTAACCTCAGAGTTTTAAAACCTAATTTTATTTGATATTTCTAATTAAATTTTTTTTTTTTATTTAAGTATTAAATAAAGTAGTTAAACTAAAAACAGCAACAAGAAAATTTTATTTCGGTTCAAAATAAAAACAAGAAAACAAACACTTTATTTAAATTTTAGATAAAATAATTAAAATTAAAATTGCAAAACCAGCGTTTTATTTCAATTTAAAATAAAATTTATTAAAATAAAAAAGAGAAAACAAATGTTTCATTTAAATTCTAAATAATATTATTTAAATTAAAATGAAAAAACAAATGCTTTACTTAAATTTTAAATAAAATATTCAAATAAAAAAACGGCAAAATATATAGGGGAATATATATATGTATATATAGGGGAAAGCAGGGCAACATGGCGAATGAGGCAAGATGGGTTTTCATATAACAACTCAACAAAAAATCTTGAAATTGGGTGAAAATGAAATTATATTTGCATCTTGTATTTTAAAACACCTATTGATTTTTGGAAATATTATTAACACAATTTTATACGCAATAGTTTACTTTTTGCGCTTAAAAAAAGTTCCTTACTTACAGTTTCTTATAATGGATGGTGTCCTTCAAGTTTAACTTCTTTAGAATTAGTTTTTTGGAATTTGTCTTTTGTTTTTAAAATTTTATAAAATTGGAGGTGAAAATTGCATAATAAGTCATCTTGCCCCGGTCACGTGACAAATTTATGAACTTTTTATTTTAATTTTTATTTCAAATTGTTATATTTGCAAACTGAAAATTCATGCAGGCAATGAAGGATTTTAATAACATAAACATACTGAGAAAGTATTATTGCTTCACGGCTGATAGAATTTGCAATAACTCAGGGCTTTCAAAACGTTCGCCATATTGCCCTGCTTTCCCCTATATACAGTAGACAAAAAAAGTACATGGCACAATTTTTTTTTTAAAATTTGTATAAAATGATTAAAAAATGGTAGTTAATATTTTTTTTCAAGGGAAAAAACTATAATGACGCAGAAAAATCAGCTGTACTTATATTCATCAAATATTTTCTGTTTTACTGTTCATCTCAATTTGTATGCCTCACCTTGTTTTCGCCAAACTTTTTGCTATCCATTCAATGAGATCAGGTGAAATTTGGATTCATCACTCTAAATTACTTTCCAGTACTCAATAGTCTTATCAACATACTTTTTTGCAAATATTAATCTTTGTTTCTTATGTCTTAGAGTTAAAAAAAAATAAGGTTTTAATTATTTTGCTTCCCACATAACACCTGTGTGCTTTTAATGTTTTTAAAAACAATAATCCTTTGGTTTATATGGTTAAATCATGTTTTATATGGTTAAATTATTTATTTGGTTTATATGGTTAAATCATGCACAAGTACATATAAAAATCTTTACAATATTAGTACTTTTTGATGTATATTTAAACATTTTACAGTTTTTAAAAAACACGAGTAAACAGATAAGTTGAAAAGAAAAACTTTAAAAAAATTGCTTGTACCATTTTTTTTTTGCTTACTGTATATATATATATATGTATATATATATATATATATATATATATATATATATATATATATATATATATATATATATATATATATATATATATATTATATATATATATATATATATGTATGTATGTATGTATGTATGTATGTATGTATGTATGTATGTATGTATGTATGTATGTATGTATGTATGTATGTATGTATGTATGTATGTGAGAAAAAGGAATATATATATATATATATATATATATATATATATATATATATATATATATATATATATATATATATATATATATATATATATGTGTGTGTATGTATGTATGTATGTATGTATGTATGTATGTATGTATGTGAGAAAAAGGAATATATATATATATACATATATATATATATATATATATATATATATATATATATATATATATATATATATGTATGTATGTATGTATGTATGTATGTATGTATGTATGTATGTATGTATGTGGGAAAAAGGAATATATATATACATATATATATATATATATATATATATATATATATATATATATATATATATATATATATATATATATATATATATGTATGTATGTATGTATGTATGTATGTATGTATGTATGTATGTATGTATGTATGTATGTGGGAAAAAGGAATATATATATACATATATATATATATACATATATATATATATATATATATATATATATATATATATATATATATATATATATATATATATATATATATATATATATATATATATATATGTATGTATGTATGTATGTATGTATGTATGTATGTATGTATGTATGTATGTATGTATGTATGTATGTGAGAAAAAGGAATATATATATACATATATATATATATATATATATATATATATATATATATATATATATATATATATGTATATATATATATATATATATATATATATATATATATATATATATATATATATATATATATATATATATATATATATATATATATATATATATATATATATATATATATATATATATATATATATATATATAGTGCACAAAGATATTCATATATACATATATATAAACTTTTAAAGCAACAAATACTTTTTTGCATCCCTGAACGCATTCCTTTTTCTCGCCTAAACTGCAGCATGTTTCTAAATCTTTAAAATAAATAAATTTAAAATTTTCAGCAATTTTACTAGTCTTCATAATAAAATTTTTTAAGCAACCTAAACACCAAAAAAACTATAATAAATTTATGACAAAAAAACATAAAAAATGAATTTTTCAAATTTTTTTGTGACTTAAATGAACATTAAAATTAAAAAAAAATGCTATATGACCTTTAAATGGATTAAGCTTTTTATATAATATATTAAACCAAATTTAATTATAAAAATAAATAATCAAATTTAACTTAAGACTATAGTAAATAAAATATATTAATAGGATTCTGATTTTATTATGTTGGATTGCATTATATTATATAATAGTCCATTGTAGCATACAAATTATTAAAAAATGATAAAAAAATCATTTGATTTATAACTATTATTTTTTGCTAAATGTTATTTAACCAAATATTTTATCTTAAAAAGTTAACATACCTCCAATAGAACTCTTGTACTCTAAAATATAAGTATAAACATATGAAGGGAGGATATTAGTTTTATTTTTATAACATTTTTTATTAAATATTTTTATATATTTTTTCAAAATTAATAAATAAAATAAAAGTAAGAAAACAATTATAACATAAAAGCATTTTTAAAAAAATGGTTCTACATAAACACAAATGCAAATTTAATATATTTAACAATAGTAATTAAAATAAAGTTCAAAATAAAATTAAAATACAAAATGTATTTATTAAATTTGTTTATAATGAACAAAAATGTTAATAAATGATGCATTAGGAATATCAGAATGTCCTACATACTTTTTACATCAGGAAGGCAGTAAAACTAATTAAGTGCAGCAAAATTACTATCTGCCTATAACTTCTTTTTTCTTTTTTTTTTTTCTTCAATAAAGTGTTTTTTTATGATGCACTACATTTTATTTTTTAAATTTTTAAAAGAATGTTTATAAAGAAATTTAAGAACCTGAATGTTCAAATGCACATGTGAATTCTTTTGATTTGATACCACATTTGTGACCCATTTCATTATGCAGTGACACAATATCAGATCTAGGGTTGCTAAAATGCTATGAACAAGGAAAAGTTTCACAATTAATATTAATGTATAAACTAATTAATTGATCATAATAATTAATAATAAACTAGTAATAATTTATAAACTAATTGTATTATAAATTACTTTATTGACTAAAATAAATATTACAAAATCCAAGAAATATTTTATTAAAAAGTGAAATATTTTTAAAAACATTAGTTAACAAATTTAATAAATCTTTTTAACTTAAACTCTTAAGACCATTAAAATACCTGAATACAAATTTGTTTGCATTCTTCATTCAATGATGACATACAACAATTTTCTGCAGCTGAACAAATTTACAATACAAAATGATTAAGACATACTATTATTCTCATTTGATAACTTCTCAAGAATATAAATACCTTTTATTCTGTAAATACACTGCGCTAAACGAGGCTATAATAACAAATTTTAATTATTTAAATCAATTTATAGTTTGATTTTTCTGTCTTACAAAAAAGTATACTAATTAGATATAAAAATAAATTTTTATATCAAATTAGGATTTTAACAGTCATTATTAAATATAGTATATTTACCATCATACAATGATATATAAACTATATTTAAAAACTGTATAATTTTGCGATGTAATTATAAGTAACGTTAGAGGTGTTAATTCATTAAAAAAATTTCTACTGAAATTTCAAAACTTACAAAAATCTATTTTTAATATAAGCCAATTTGATTAAAAACACAATAAGTAACATCTTGCCTGTGCAATTTAGTTTCATTATGAAGTTCTTATTAATTAATATATAAGAAGAGATGCACGGTCTCAACAGTATTTTGTCATTAAATATGTTCTTTTATTACATTTTCATTTCCTTTTTTATTTATAACAAACACTCAACTATGGCATCACTCCTACATATCTAAAAATATGAGCTGTTAAATTCTATTCCTTTGATTAGTTGTTTGATAAACCTAACCCTAACTTCTGAAAACTTATAGTGTTCACTGTTGCTAATGTAAAACAATATAATTTGAAATTATATTGCAGCTCTCTTGGAATGTAGTTGCCAAGAAACAGTATACACCCTAGAATTAAGATGAGTTAATTGTCACTGAGTAACACTTTTTTCAGCCTTAAGTATTTTTTTGCTTTACTATTGATAAACAATGTACCAGTATTAGCTTTTTAATTGTAAATGTAAAAATAACATTTAAAGCAAAAAAAAACAAAAAACATTGATTAATTTTTTAGCTCAACACAAAACAATAAAAAAAACTTCATCATAACATAAATCATATCATAAACAAATATCATAAACAAACTAAAATATAATATATAATAATAACAAAATTAATGATAATAATAGTAATAATAACAATAGTAATAAGTAATATGTACAGTATAATAAAAATATATAATATAAATGCTATGATAATTAATATAAATACTATATCAAGATGAAAAACTCTTACCTCTCTAATAGCACCACAATTTTCATTTTCCAACCTTTTTCTGTTTTTTGTTGAAAGAGTGCGGCATTGAATTTCACATGCTGGATGAACTGCTTCATTACAGCAAACATCATGAGCAACATCTTGCCTGTGCACTTTAGCTTCCTTACGAAATTCTGCAATATGAAAATAAGTTTTTTTTATTAAGTTAAATTAATATATTTATGTTAATAACAAATACTTTACCTTGATTGACCCTGCTAAAAAATCACTTTTTAAAAAAGATTTGATTAAATACTTTCACCTAGCCAGCATAGAAAGTTATGTAAACAGTTAGAGTAAATTATGAAAACTTGCACTGTAGAGGTATTATATATTAACAATCACTAAATAAAAAAAGCTATACTATATCTCAATGTATAATAATTTACTAAATGTATAAGATGTACATTTAAATACATACTATAAATAGTTATTATATGATCTTTTTTGCTTTCATACTCATGGTGTAAGTAAGCTTATGTTTTATCATTTCTAAATTTTTTTTTATATATAACATTTGTGAATTAGCAGTTTAATTTAAACTGTTTAAACCATATCTTTTTATTATTACTTGTTTAAGACTTATTTTGCCATGCTTGGCGCAAGTCTCTATTTAAAAAAAAAACTGTTCATTTTTATTTACATTTTTATCTAAGTTCTTCTTTTTCTACTTTTTTCATCTAAAATCTACTTTTTATTTTTTATCGAAGAAATGCTTGGAGAGTACATTTTTGTTATTATACTTTGGTGTTTTTTAATGACATTAATTTGGTGAAACTTTGTTATAATTAAATTTTAAATGCCATTAAAAATGGCTTTGAAGTTTCTCACTATTCTTTAATCGTTAAGTCAATTGTATTTCTCTCTTTCTTATCATTGAGTTTAACAGCAAAAGGTTGATAATATCAACAGTCAATATTATAAAGATTATAATACCGATTGTTGTATTATCTTTTTGTTTATTTTTTAATTTTAATTTTATTTAACAACTTCTTTTTTAGTTGTTTTTTTATTTTACTTTTTTTAGATACAATTTTTTTTTGGGTTGTTAAAAAAAAAAAAAACTTGTGGCTCCTTGAGTATCTTTGGTGCATAAAAGATTGGCAAAACTTTTTAAAAGTTATAATTGTTTTAAAAAGCTTAGAATTAACATGTTCTGATATATGAATAAACTCATTTTAGCAATAACAATTAAAATAGGGTCAGATTTTATTAATGCAGCCGAGCTTTTGCATCAATTTCAAAAGTTTTAATTTCAATGCTTATATCTTATGTTAAGATTTTTAAACACGATTCTCCTCGCAGAGCCTTTAATTATACCGAAAGTTAAAATACGCGGCACAAAAGCGCAAATGGATTTCTTTTTGCTTTTTTTCAGCGTCGCGTAACAATCAATAGGCGATCTTATCTAACTAGTTATATCCTTATAATTGTTTGCTATTTTATTACTGATATTGCTATCCTTTACGTAGCATTTGCTTAGTGGATTGTACAATTGCTATTCAACCAAATATTGTAAAAGTATTCTTAAAGATCAGATCAATATTCAGTTTATAGAAACCCAGTGTGCACAGTACGCAAACGTTTTTTAAACGACGTTTTTTAAACGACGTTTTTTAAACGTCTTTTGAACGTTCAAAAGACAACTTTTATAGGTCCCGTGCCAAGTTTAGAAAGCTTTATAAAAAGTTAATACGTTTATTACTTTACAATATTTACAAAAATAAGATGAAAAGAATAAATACTTATAAAAAAAAAAAATTTCCTAAGAAAAAAACTTAATTTATGTAATAATTATTTTAATTTGAAATTTAAAACATTTTAAAAATCCTTTTTACAATAAAAACTAGGTTATTAGTTCAAAAGACGTCTTTTTTAGATCCCTTGCTCACTAGATTATGTGTTGTTTTTAATAACGATATCAACCAGAATTTCGTTTTACTCGATATTGCGAATATTCACGTTTTTTTTTTTTTTTTTTTTTTATTTTTATTTTAGAAGTTAGATTAGAGTGCGTTTCGTTAATAATCAGACATTTTTATAAAATTCTTAATCAGGATAAAACTCTCTATCGTAATGAACAATTAAAAAAAAGTGAGAGGATTGGGACTAGCTCTAAACAGTCTACCTTTTAAACTTTAAATAAAAAGTTAAAAAGACTTTTTTCTAACTTTATTTCGAATCATAATTTATGTTTTTGTTTCTAAAAATAATAAAAAAATGTAGAATTTAAATATAAAATAAGTTTTTTAAAATTAGTTTTCTTTTCTACAATTTATAATAAAATCAAATAAAATAAAATTTTACGGTAATAAAATCAAGCTTTACGGAAATAAAACCAGAATTTACAGTAATTCGGTTTTATAAAGGTAAATTTAGCCAAAATTTAACGTCCAATTGCAATTAACAATTAGCCAAAATTTAACGTCGAATTTCAATTGAAATTTTATTGAATATTTACATGTTTTTCAAAAAATGTAATGGTATTTAAAAGTAAAGACTGTATGATTTTTACAGCCTACTTACCTAAAAAAGTTTTAAACTTTAAAGAAAATTTTGAAATAAAGTATGAACTTTATACAAATAACATTAAAATGATTTACATATTGTTATATACTTACGTTTCCAAAAATCAGTAAGAACGAATTCTTTCCAAAACTTATCCTATAAAAAATGTTTAGATGTCAAGGCTAGTGAAAATATTGCAAAAATGTTATTGTACTTACTATATTAGTTTATTATGTTAACACGAAATATATTTTATGTAGCCTAGTAAATAGTAACTACCCACATGCAAGCTCATTTAAGGATTGGAACTGTTATTTTTTTAAGGGCAATAAACTACTGAGTTTTATAATACTACTATTTTAAACTAAATTTAAATTCTGTAACAGATTTTATCCAACAACATTTTAATGTTTAAAAGCTATGGCCATAACTTTTTAAAACTAAAATACTATTACTATTATTTTGGAGGTAATGGATATATACTAAAACACGGATAAATATTTTAATTTTATAAATAAAGCCAAAAACAATATAATAATAAAAATGAACGCAAAAAAAAAAAATAATAAAAAAGTGCATACCTCAGAACGGGTGCACGAGTTTGCTAACTTTTGCAAACGACGTCTGAAATAAGCTGGTTTTTTAGTTGAAAAAATTGCAACCTATAAAATATTCTGTCCAGTTTACTGTGTATAAAATGCATAATGTATCTATTTTTTAATAAGTTACTCTAAAGTTTTAAAACGCAAATAGTAGAGTTTATCTTAATTTAAATAATTCAAAGTAAATGTTGAACATTTGTCGTCAACAATGTACAGATTATTTCAGCTGTATTTATTAAACCGATGTTGGTAAAACATAATTAAAAACGTAAACCGATTTACACTTCTAGCGATTTTCGAATGACATTGTAACCGAAAACATAAATTTATAAATTTCTATCAGTTTAAAAAATAAATTAAACTGAACAAAAAACTCAAATATTAAATAAATACCTCTCGGCAATTTAACTTGCAAAGCGACGAATGACTTTTATTGCAACATTCTTTAAGGCCTAAAAAACTCAAAATGTAGAAAGTTTACTTTTGTTTTTAAAACAGTTATCATTATTTATTATTATTATTAAAAAAGAAATGCCATTCTAATACTACTATATATATATATATATATATATATATATATATATATATATATATATATATATATATATATATATATATATATATATATATATATATATATATATATATATATATATATATATATATATATATATATATGTATATATATATATATATATATATGTATATATATATATATATATATATATATATATATATATATATATATATATATATATATATATATATTATTATGAAAATTGTTATTACTTAAATTCAGTAGATTTTTTAAAATGTTTTACTTAAAAAACATGCATTACCTCGAGTATTTAACATAACATTTCCAACCGAACAACTAACAAATACGCATAACAATAAAGCGGTTTTCTTCATGGTCGTCGTAATTTACAAGATTATTTCTATAATAGTCGACAACAGCATGCGGCGAAAAATGTTGCAAAATGTTTTACTCTTGCAAATGTTTATTTTTTTTTAACAGTGTTGCGTTGGCATTGACGATGTCCCGCTGTGAATCGACCAAGTAGATATTAAGCTCAAGAACCTTTAATAAAAGATAAACAACAATATCTACGCAACGTCAATCAAGATTTATACGTAGCTTTAAGGGGGTTGTCATTTATAAGTCTTGTTTAATTTACGTTTAAGACAAACCTTCTGGCTTTAGATTTTAAAGTTACATATTTATTTAATGTGTTCGTTTAAAAAGATAGAATAAAAGGTAAAATTAACGATAAGCAAATCTATTCTCTTTTTAAAAAAAAAAAATTGATTTGTTGATATTTATAGAAATTTAAATAAATAAAATAGCCAGTGTGTTTAAGATCTTTCTAAAACAATTCAACACGTTTTATTGTATAGTTGTTTTACAATTATTTTATGGCTACACCCCTTTTACGAAATTTCACCGTTCTGCTATTGTTTCTTCAATTGTTTGTTTTATTCTTTTTAGCTTTTTTTTTTCAACTTTCTTTTTAATTGGAAATGTTTTAAGTTTTATTTTTTAGAATTCCTCATGGTTTCTTGTAGTCAATGAAAATTCTACTGTGCAAATCCAAAACAAATTGAAATTAAGTCAAATAAAAAAATAATTAATACATAACATAAATATAAATTACATGACGTTCTTATTCTTTTGGTTAATAAAGAAAACAATAATAAAAAGTACTTCTTTTTTTTGTTTAGTTTCCACTTAAACACAAACGCGCGCGCACACCGTAACTAACAAAAACCGGTGTTTTAATTTACTTTATTGAGTGTATTAGCGATTGTTAGTAATCTTTAGTTTCAACACACAAACACGCAAACTAGATGTTTATAGAGTCATAAATTTATAATTCTTAAGCCCCATATTTCTACAAAGAAGTGCGTATTTTATTTATTAAAAAAAATTGTTCTAAAGTTTAAAACTGTTTGGCATTATTAAAACTTACGTACATACATGCATACATTTACATAAATGCATACATTTACAAAAAAAACCTGTAAACCACATTCTTTGGGGAGGGGGGGAGGTGTTTCAACTGCCACCTCCTCCCTACCCAAAGAAGGTGATGCTATAGTCGGTTTTTTGAAGAAAAGAGTCGGGTAGTCGGTTATTTAACACAATTCAGTCGAGTGAATTTTAGTTTTGGGGTCCTTTTTTTTAAGGAACTAGTCCAGGTACTTTATAAGGAATAACCCCCCTACTCCTTTATATTATTCGTAGAATTGCCTCTGCATACATACATATATACATTCATAAAAATATGCCTATATATACATTAAAAACAAAAAAATGTTACATGCATACAAAAACACATACATATCTGCCTATAAATACATAAACTAGGTGTTTAACTTTGTATATAAAACTTTCAAAACTGCCAATAAAAAGTTTGACAAAGGTTAGTTACCGAATTCATAAAAACTGCAATGACACACTGTTAAATCTCTATTTCAAAAATTAAACAATATTTAAAAATTAAAATGACAGCTTTTTTCTTTTACTACAAGTTTTAATTTATTGAAAACAAATATTTATTCAGTTATTTATTTTTATAAGAGTCAAAAAAAATTTGTCACAGAAATAGCTTGCTCTTAAAAGAAAGGCAGATAAGTTAATCGTACTGAAAGTACCCACGTCTATGTATTTTAAATAGAGAAATAGAATACTAGAAGTTGAAATATCTTATGAAATTAATTTGAAAGAGTTAATCTGAATTGCTTTTATTTGAGTTGCGTAACTTTAGTTTAACTTTATTTAATGCTATAGACTAATATATATAGAAACTATTATATCTGGTTTTAATGAATATAAGAAAGGATAACCAAGGCGTTAGTTTTTTCATTCTTTAACAATAGACTAATCAACTTTGTTTTCTTTTTACTTCAGGATAATTTATTAAGACAAAACAGAACAGATTTAAAAAGTTTGCTATGCTCCTTGAATATTTATAACTTATTAAATTTACACTTATACAAATTTACTTATTAAAATTACAGAAATCATTTCTAGATACTTTAAAAGACAAATAAAGCAATAATAAATGTTATTTCCTTAAATTTTCAACATATCTTAAATTAAAAATGTCAAAATGCATTGTTTTTTAGTATTATTATAAACGTCTATTTATTCTATAACTTTAAAACCACAAATATTGTTTATAATAAATTTTAATATAAATTATACTACAATAATATTTAACTTTTATTATCACATTAGTTTTGCGCAAAAGCAAACTTTAATCAATTTTATTCTTGATGAAACTAATTTAATTGGCTTTGCATAAAAGCAATTTGCAACACTAAGTTTAATTTAAAAAAAAAAAAATCTTTTTTCCATATTTTTTTTAATAAAAAAATAATAATTATTATATAAAATTAAAAACTTTTAATTTTAAGTCGTAAAAATAGAAAAAGTTAAGCTTTTGGCGCCGATTTGCTTAAAAATTAATTTGTGGTCATTTTAAGCATAGTTAGTTGAATGCAATAATTATCTCTACCATCTTTGTCAGCTTTGATTACTTTAAACGGTCTATTATAATGAGCATGTGTTGATGAAAATGGGGATGGCTCTAAATGCTAACTACGACATAAAAATTTTAAAATTCGTAATAAGGTATTTAAAAACCTTACAACGTGCGGTTACATAAATGTGATAAATACACTAAAATTTGCCTAAATTTTTGCAAATTTATTATGTTCTACAAATTTATTGAAAAAAAAATTGAAGAAAATTAAAATTGCATCATCGATTAAATTAGAGCAATTTTTTTACGAGATTAATTTGATTTTGATCATAGATATAGTTGTGTCGTTTAAACAAATGCGTCATAAACTTGATGTTACGCGATAACTTATTCTTATAATTAAAAATCTTTAGTATTGTCTAAATACCAAACAAAATTAATTTTTTTTAAACTTTGCGGCGGATAATTGGGAATTCTAACAACTGACCAATAAAAAAATTATTAGATGCGAGTTTGTATAAATAGTAAATCCATTTTCATTAATACTACTGACAACAAATTATTTATTAAAAACAAAACATTTATTTTGTAATTCAAAAAATGTGACAATTTTAAAAAAATCTACTAAAATCTCGCAAAATATTTTTATAAATTAATTTTATTTAGAAATTAAAAAAAAATACTTGACCAATTTAGTCGAGCATAAACACTTACAGCTTGTTTCGGCTTAAAAAAGTTTGGAAATAGTAATAAAATTTGAATTAGTGCAAGGAAGTGAAACAATTATTCCCAATTGTATCATTATATAATATAAACTTCGTTTGGTATAACAAGAAAAGGCCTACTTTACTTTAATACATTCTATTCAGCATGCTATAAAATACAGCCTTAAGTGGTATTTTGATCTACAAAGTTTCTAAAATATATGCTTGTATGTATTAATCATAAAGTTGTATTAATCATATAGCATCTATTAATCATATAAGCATGTATTAATCATATAGCATCTATAGTTATTGTAGTAACATTAATATTTATTTGCTTTATATTGTCATAAAGCTAACATAGCTTTAAAAGGGTTAGTTACCTAAAATTAGAGGGTTTCATTGCTTAGACCTAATTATAGTCAGATTCGTTGGAGGATTTGTTTGGTGTTCTAAATAGGTATTTTCAAAGAATGGAAAAAACTCTGAAAACATTTTTACATTATATTAATTTCCTCAGAGGACTGCGTTTTTCAAAACTGTTCTTTTTAATAATAAATTGATACTAACAGGGCAGACGACACGGGTATCGAAGAGGCGGGGAGGGGGGAGGGGGCACAATTGTCAGTTCCTAGAATTTTCTTAAAAAAAAAAAAGATCCTTTAGAAAAAAAATCTGCATTTAATCAGGGCCAATGATACCTCCCTCTAAACTTGTGAACAATGAAATAATAAATCTTTTATTATTCTAAACTAAATTTACATTTATTTCGATCATTATATTAGTTTGATTTCCACCATGTCAAAGATAGTACGGTGCTCAACTCGTTTCTTCGCGCAGCGGCTTTGTTTATTGAGGTTCGTGTTTCAGAATTATACAGTTGAGAGAGGGTTGTAACCACAATTAAAGTAGCCTCCTCGACTTTAAGACTTTGGGGATGTAAATTAAGATTAAAATAAAATTTATATTTACATCTATTGACCGATTTCTAATTTTGTCCAACAATCTTATAATTAAAGTTATGGCCATGTAAAATTTCAAATTCACCTTAATGAGTTGAGATTTGATTTATGTTTTACACATTATACATTTAATGCATATACATTATACATTCTTATAAATTATACATTCAATACATCACGTTTTGTACATTATTTATATACTTCTGATTTTTTGATTTTCAGTAGTAAGTGTGTTAGTAAAAAGTAGTAATGCTAATCGCCATTGCCTCTGTTATCCAAATGATCAAGTTAAACAGTTATTATTTTCTCTTACAAAATGTAAAGCATCATTTGATATTATACTGTTTCAAATTTGCAATACGCAGAAGTCATACCGAGTAACTAGATCACGTTTTTTACCTTATCACAACACCACAACAATATTTTGCAAAAGAAACTGGGAAAATCATTTAATTATTAGTTGTACTAGTTATTGCTACTCTTATTATTAGTATTTGGTTTAGCCTGTTATACAGGTATACTATTTTATCTGCTACCCAGTGGGCACCGGACCTAAAAAAGACGTATTTTGAACGTTCAAAAGACGTCTAAAACGTGTATAAGACGTTTAAAAGACGTCTTTTTTACGTCCGTGCCCACTGGGTATACTTGGTACACTTTTTTATCCGCTATGGATGTTACACTATTTTTCCCGCTATACACGGTACATTATTTTGGTTGTTAGTAAATACGCTGTACAATTAAAAAAGTTCGTTTTCTTAAATAAAAATATGAACAGTTAGTTTTCTCAAATAAAAAAAAGAATTTCGATGATGAGTCAAAATCATCTTTTTAAAGTAAAAAGTAAAATCGGAGTTTTTTTTATTTTCATTAACACATTTTTTATTTTATTATTTTAAAACCATGATGTCTTACAAAGTCTCAGTTTATTCGACATATTCTCAGTATCTTTAACAAATTTAAACTTTTCACAATAGTTGCATCTATTTTTATAAGGAACGTGAAATGTGAAAAGTAATAGTAGTACAAAAATTTTTTAGCTCAAAACTATTATCTATCATATTATTATAAGATGTGACGTGATATATTAAGATGTGACGTGATTGGGACAGGGGATTGGGACTGACACAGTAAAAGTCTAAATCAGCCTTACCGTGCCAATTTCGTTAAAATTGGTTGCCGAGGTGCTCGAATAAGACCTAACTGTCTTATCATAAAGCACCACAGAAGAGCATATAAATAGGAAGCTCACGCTTCTTTCTATTCAAACTCGAACCTTATAAAATATTCAACTCATCTTCTAACATTTTCTCACAAAATTTATAATTAAAATTTGCCAGACAGTTTTTACTTCAACTTGTTTATTTTTAATCGACATTTATGCGTTTTTTCTTTCATTACATTTTAGGATTTAGAAGTTGGCTTTGGACTATTTTCTTTATTTTGTTTGGTAGTGATTAGAAAAAAAAACGTAATTCTAAAAAAAATAAGTAGCCTTAACTAACAATATACAGATAGTTAGTCATTTAATTTTTTTATATTTTATATATTGATGTTAATTATTGAAGTATAATGGTTAAGAAAGGTTACGTTAAGTAAGGCGTTAGTATATGATAGTAGATTAGAGGCCTATTATTTGCAATGTCCAAAATAAGGAGAAGCAAAAAAGTATATCAAATTAAAGAAAATTACTTTAACTAATCTGCTAGACCAAAAAAAACTAAACAAGAAACATCAAACAAGAAACCCTTGTCATAAACTTCATTTATTATGTTGTTAACAGCTGACGAGTGTTTTATGACACTTGTCAGCTCTTAACAAAATAATAAATGAAAGTTACTTTTTCTTATTATTAAATTGATAACTTTCTAACGCTATTGCTTTTAATCGGTACCATGTATCAGGTTTAGGTATTTGCTTTTACTAAATATCTTTTTAAGTTGAAGGCTTAATTATTTATGTTTATTAGTTTTCTTAAAAGCTTTTTGACTTTTTGAAACAGTTTAAATTAAGTTAAGTGTATTTATAATATGTACAGTATAATTTTCTCAAATCGAATTATATAAGAAAAATTAAAAGTTCAAATTAAAGAGATTTTCACGGATTTAGATTTCACGCTGAATTAGCATTTGATTGAATAATGGAGTTTTTTTAAATTAAGTAGATTCGAATTAGAGAGATTGTACCGTTAATTATATTCAGTACACTTTGCAAATACAACTACAAGTATAAATAATGTATAATAAATTTTTTTTAAGGATATAGAAAAGAGATATAATAGACCAGCTAGTAT